GATATCTATAATTTTTGGTACCGAAATTTGCTACACAATGGAAACTCAAAGTGCCAAAATAAAGTCAAGTAAAGTTGGGCGGCCAACTTTGCCTACTGAATAGCCTTTAATTCTTCGCCGAATTAAAGCCTATTCAGTAGGCAAATATGGACAGAACTTTTGAAATGATCTCCGAACATACATTGAATACGTTCGGTAACTATGTTTTCCACCCTCAAAAAAAAACTGGAACATATATGTACAGGCCTTTTGGTTAGAAAATTTGACTATAATTTTCAAAAAATAATGGTGGTCCGATTTAGGGCACATATGCACCGTTTTGTTGTATGATTTGTTGCCATTTTAAAGGTAACCACATAATGCCTCTCTTATAGAAATCCTGCTCTATATTTGCAAAAAGACTTTAGTAGTCAATTTTCACAATCCTCCATAGATTCCAATTTTAACCCGAGCTGTGCTATCGTGGCCATATGGTCACACTCATAAGACGATCAATAAATCATTTAAAAAACCAATGCTAGTGTGAACATATGATCACAGCCCATAATTGATCCTATCGATTATCCTGATGAGAAAAAAAGATACAAATAAACTTGTTGGATTCAGTGACCCACAATCCGGAGACGCTGAAAGTTTCGTCCCAAAATTCGAAAAAAAATTACAGCAGTATTCGGGTTAAAGAAATTTTGCAATGCAAGAAAAAGATGATAAGCGCATGGTATCATGGTGTCCGGAATGTATGGAGGATGCATTAAAACTTTTCAAACAAACACCCGAAGTTTCTGGCGAGTCACTGTAGATGTGTGTGTCGTAGAGTTGTCCTGTTGGAACACGACATCTCTCCTGTTGGCCAATTCTGGCCGTTTCTGGTAAGTTCTTGTTTACAGTACAGATCAGAATTTAGTGTTTGGCCATATGGAAGCAACTCATAATAAATAGCACAACCACATGTATAGCAGAACCTCCCTGGCTGTTAGTCCTGCTTTGGCCACCGTTTGAGGTACTTCACAGCTCTTTGACTACGATCGTTTTCGTACAAGGTTATCGTATGTGATCCATTTCACATATAAGATATATATCTCATTCCGTTTAGCCAAGGCTTGGCAGATGGAAATTCGAACCATCCTAGTTTTTTCGGTTAATTGGTGTGGCACCAAATCATCGGGCTTCCGATGTTTGGGCGCCAGTATATTTTATACCAATATTTTATATCAATTTAAAAATTATAGATTTTCTTTTAAAAACCTGTGGTGTCAGCGCGGAAAGCATTCAACTTTTTATCTATGTCCTGCCAAAACTAGCTAAAACAAAGTCTTCATTATGTCAATTTATCTATTCAATACTTTGTATCTCTCTCATTTTATTCATTTTCGACATATTTCGAAGCAGTGAAATGTATAAAAAGGGTTTATAGATAAAAAAAATCATTAAAAGTATGACCCACAACATTGCGTGTGACTTTCTAGTACAACGGTAATTATGACACAACCCTATGTAGACAGTCATGTCTTAGGGCTTATTCAAAACGTGTTATCGTTAATGTAACGTAATGGTATTTTGTAGTTGTTCTCCGCACGTAACATTAGGTGGGACATTCCAACAAAAAGTTGGCATTCCTTGGAACAACTTCGTACAAAACCCGAAATACACTTAACAACACTTAAAACACAGTGGTTAGTTCAAATATTTTGGCAAAAAAATAATTTCAAATTCACGCCTTTAGTAACCCTTGAAAAAATATTCTTTTAAAAATCCACGCCTTTGGTAATCCTTAAAAAAATATTCTTTAAAAAATTCTCGCCTTAGGTAGTCCTTGAAAAAATATTCTTTTGAATATTCATATGAAAATCCACGCCTTGGATAGTTTTAAAAAAATATACTTTCGAAAATCCTAGAAAAAATATTCTTTTAAAAATCCACGCCTTTTGGTAATCCTTGAAAAAAATATTCTTTTAAAAATCCACGCCTTTTGGTAATCCTTGAAAAAAATATTCTCTTAAAAATCCACGCCTTTTGGTAATCCTTGAAAAAATACTTTTTTAAAAATCCACGCCTTTGGTAATCCTTGAAAAATATTCTTTTGAAAATCCACGCCTCTTGTAGTCCCTGAAAATATATTCTTTTGAAAGTCCACGTCTCTTTTAGTCCTTGAAAAATTATTTTTAATAAAACCACGCGTCTAGTACCCCTTGAAAAATATGTTTAATAAAGCTACGCCTCTAGTACCGCTTAAAACATATTTTTAATAAAACCATGCCTCTATTCTAACTCTAATAGACTTTAAACCAGTAAAAAAGCATTAAGTTCGGCCGAACTTTGGATACCCTCTACCATAGATATACTGACAGACACTAGAAATGAAAATATAGGGAACATACTAAAAAGTGGACATATACCAACATTTCTAAAAGCGGATTGTGTAAACCATAATACAAATTTCAGAATTTTTTAATGGATAATTATACCATCAGCCTTATTACTTTAACACGGTGAAAATGTGCATCATCGAAATATTGGTTCTAGACCCCAATTTTCTTTGGACCAAATTCATTTCAGAAAATTTAGATTTCATACAAACATTGCCCATCTTATTATTTCTTCCAAAATTAGTTCATATTCGAAGATGAGGAATATCGGTCCACACCTTTTGGAACCTCCACTCATGGGCTAGGTCGTAATGCGGGCTATAGTTCATTGTCGAACCTAACGCTCTACTTTTTTATCTCGCTATCCTCCGCAGGTGAAATGATTACAACAGAGTCTTAGAACCAAACTCAAAACGCGGAACAAATCAGATAACTATTTTAATATAAATCAGTAAGGAAAGTTCAAAAGTCGGAAGGGACCGACTATATGATACCCTTCACCACTTTGGGTACATGCAAGACATGTTAATATATATCTACAATTTCCTGTGGATAGAACGGTCATAGAATCTTTGGAGGACTATTGAGATGGAATCGGACGAAATTAAATGTGCTATCTAGATAGATATTTGAACCAATTAAAAAAAAACCCATGTACATGCCATTCTGAAATCAATCAAAAATTGCATGTCAAACGGACAGACTTGGATTCTTTGGTGTACCATTTGTATGAAATCGAGTCAAATTATGTATGGGAGCTATATATAAACACATGGACCTAATTGAGTAACCGCCACCATTTACATTAAATCGAACGAAAATATCTATAAGACCTATATCAAATTCTGAACCGATTTCAACAAACCTTATCACGCATCATTTTTTTCCCAATAACAAATATTGGGAGTTTAATGCATCATTCACATCGAATCGGACGAAACTATATATGGGAGCTATATCTAAATCTGAATCGATTTTAACAAAACTTCACAGACATCAGTCTGGATCTAATGTAGTACTCTATGCAGAATTTTGTATCAATTGGACAAATATTGGCAGTTTGCTGTATCATTCAGAAAAAATCGGACGAAACTATATATGGGAGGTATATCTAAATCTGAACCGATTTCTAATTAACTTCGCATACATTAGTCTGGACCTAATTCAGTACTCTGTGCAAAAGTTGTCCCAATCGGACAAATATTGGGAGTTTGGTGCATCATTTACATAAAATCGGACGACTCTATATGGGAGCTATATTTAAATCTGAACCGATTCCAACAAAACTCCGCACACATAAGCATGGACCTGATCCAATGCGCTATGCAAAAATTTGTCCCAATCAGACAAATATTGGGAGTTTGGTGTATCATTCACAAAAAATCGGACGAAACTACGCTGAATGATTATTTCGATCAGTTACAAACGGAAACACTAAATTAATATACCCGCCATACTATGGAGGGTTCAATACCGAACGAGGATTCAGCAAGGTGACAGTTTGTCGAGTGATCTTTTTAACATCCTGCTGGGAAAGGTCATACGAGACGCAATGGTGAACAGAAATGACACTCTGTACACCAAACAGCACATGTTACTCGCCTACGTCGATGACATCGATATAATGGGTTGAACATTGCGAGCGATAACATCCACCTTTGAACAAATTGAAAAGGAGTCTGCCAAAGTGGGTCTGGCAGTAAACGGCGAGAAGACCAAGCTGATGGTATCAACACGCAAGACGTCCAGTAGACTCGGACCAACTGTGGAACTTGAGAACTACAGTTTCGAGGTAGTTACAGATGTTATATACCTTGGTACCGCCATAAATAAAACGAATGACATCAGTTTTGAAATTTGGAGAAGCATTGTGATGGCCAGGTTAGAAACAAGGGTACCTCCCGTCAGACCAAACTCACACTTTACAAGACGCTGCTACTGCCCGTGATGTTATATGGATCTGAAGCATGGGTACTTGCGCAAGCAGATGATGCAGCTCTTGAGGTGTTCGAAAGAAAAATTCTCGAAAAGGTCTACGGGCCGATCTGTTTCGTGAATATCGGCGTCGAATGAACCACGAGCTATACAATTTATACTCGGACATCGACATGGCCATGTTGTGCGAATGAATGAGAATGCCCCAGCTCAAAAGGCATATAAAACCAAGCCTACTGATGATTCCCGTAAAAGGGGAAGGCCACGAATTATATGGAAAGACCAAGTAGAAAACAACATCTTGGAACATGGTCTTCCAAATTAGTGGATTTGCGCACAAGACCGACGCGCTTGGAAATCTTTTTTAAGCTCGGCTTATGGAACAACCGTTCTGTAACACATGTAGACTTTTAAAATTGATTTTTTTTTGAGTTCCACATAAAAATGTATATGTTTTTTATTTTTGTTTTTCCTTTTCTTGATTATAATTTGAATATGCAAAAATAATTATAAAACTAAAATATCACGACTTATCAGAGATACATTTAATCGCCTAATTCTAATATATAATTTTATAGATAAAATACTATAAAAAATATATAAGCAATAAATATTTGAAAATATAAAAAAGAATCCACAAAAATAATGGAGACAGCATAGACTTGGATAAATAAAAAAACTATTCCATAAATGTCCCAGCTAATGTTCATGGGCCTTGTGGTGTTCTTCATCCATGGGATATGTTATGGGATTTGTAAATTCGATGTGATGATCAAGAAGTGAATCTTCTGAAAAATTTAAAAATAATAAATTTAAAATAATCTCTTTAATACTTTTTTTAATATAATTCCCTACCATTCCTTTGATTCGCTTCCAGATTTATAATACTGTTTACAATATTATCGATAAAATCTTGTGTCAATGTTTCGGTTATATTCACCGGATCGTAGTATAGGAAACTTCGCTTCTTCCTCGTGTGTTGTTGATGTTTCTTAGCCGATCGGCGACTGCGGAATAGTGCCAAACTTATATGAGATTTTTGCAGTGGTATATGATCTGGACCAAATTCTAAACATTTGCCTTGAACACAGTAACGATCTTCGCTATTCGAACAACGGGTACCCAGCGGGAAGTGACCATAATTGCCGTTGACCAAATAGAAACGATGTTGTATAAATTCATCTTGACAACCGACACGACAGCTACGATCAGGATTCTCAACACTCGCAGCGATTTGAATGCCATGACCCGAAAGGCCACGAACTTTGGTCTTATACCCAGAACAGGTATTATCGGCAAATTCTCCAGTGGTCTGCAAACGTTCACAAGGCTGGAGAAGAAAAAGCAAAAAATATATTATAATTTGTGTCCCTAACATTATCATTCTATTTCCTCACCTTAACTGTGTGCGTACATAGCTGTATATTCTTTTCACCCGTTTTGCGATTCATAACTACCTGTATACCCTTGGAACGAGCCATACAACTTGAATAACATCCCGACTTTACTACCCATACATTTTCATTGCCTTCCAGGGGACCGGGTGTAGCGACCGCAATTGACGTTGGTGATTTGGGGAATGAGGATTCGGACGGTACATGATCGTTCACGTGATAACTGTACTTATTCCAGGGGGCATAATTATCAGATTTTCGACGATAGGTGGTCGTGTCATGATTATATTGGCCATGGAAGGGTTTAACAGCAACTTCTGAAATGTTTGAAACAAGATCAAATTTGTTTAATAAAACCACGCCTCTAGAGACCCTTGAAAAAATACTTTTAATAAGACCACGCTTCTAGAGACCCTTGAAAAAATACTTTTAATAAGACCACGCCTCTAGAGACCCTTGAAAAAATACTTTTAATAAAAATACTTTTAATAAAACCACGCCTCTAGAGACCCTTGAAAAAATACTTTTAATAAGACCACGCCTCTAGAGACCCTTGAAAAAATACTTTTAATAATACCACGCCTCTAGAGACCCTTTAAAAAATACTTTTAATAAAACCACGCCTCTAGAGACCCTTGAAAAAATACTTTTAATAAAACCACGCCTCTAGAGACCCTTTAAAAATACTTTTAATAAAACCACGCCTCTAGAGACCCTTGAAAAAATACTTTTAATAAAACCACGCCTCTAAAAAATACTTTTAATAAGACCACGCCTCTAGAGACCCTTGAAAAAATACTTTTAATAAGACCACGCCTCTAGAGTCCCTTGAAAAAATACTTTTAATAAACCACGCCTCTAGAGACCCTTGAAAAAATACTTTTAATAACACCACGCCTCTAGAGACCCTTGAAAAAATACTTTTAATAAGACCACGCCTCTAGAGACCCTTGAAAAAATACTTTTAATAAGACCACGCCTCTAGAGACCCTTGAAAAAATACTTTTAATACGACCACGCCTCTAGAGACCCTTGAAAAAATACTTTTAATAAAACCACGCCTCCCTAGACCACGCCTTGAGACCCTTGAAAAAATACTTTTAATAAAACCACGCCTCTAGAGTGCCTTGAAAAAATACTTTTTATAAAACCACGCCTCTAGAAACCCTAAAAAATACTTTTATAAGACCACGCACGCCCTTGAAAAAATACTTTTAATAAGACCACGCCTCTAGAACCCTTGAAAAAATACTTTTAATAAAACCACGCCTCTAGAGAACCCTTGAAAAAATACTTTTAATAAAACCACGCCTCTAGAGTTGAAAAAATACTTGAACCCTTGAAAAAAATACTTTTTATAAAACCACGCCTCTAGAAACCCTTGAAAAAATACTTTTTATAAAACCACGCCTCTAGAAACCCTTGAAAAAATACTTTTAATAAGACCACGCCTCTAGAGACCCTTGAAAAAATACTTTTAATAAGACCACGCCTCTCTTGAAAAAATACTTTTAATAAGACCACGCCTTAGAGAAAAAAAATACTTTTAATAAGACCACGCCTCTAGAGACCCTTGAAAAAATACTTTTAATAAACCACGCCTCTAGAGACCCTTGAAAAAATACTTTTAATAAAACCACGCCTCTAGAGAACCCTTGAAAAATACTTTTTATAAAACCACGCCAGCCTCTAGAAACCCTTGAAAAAATACCTCTAGAGTGCCTCTAACCCTTGAAAAATACTTTTTATAAAACCACGCCTTAGAAACCCTTGAAAAAATACTTTTTAAAAACCACGCCTCTAGAGACCCTTGAAAAAATACTTTTAATAAGACCACGCCTCTAGAGACACTTGAAAAAATACTTTTAATAAGACCACGCCTCTAGAGACCCTTGAAAAAATACTTTTAATAAAACCACGCCTCTAGAGTGCCTTGAACCCTTTAAAAATACTTTTTATAAAACCACGCCTCTAGAAACCCTTGAAAAAATACTTTTTATAAAACCACGCCTCTAGAAACCCTTGAAAAAATACTTTTAATAAGACCACGCCTCTAGAGACCCTTGAAAAAATACTTTTAATAAAACCACGCCTCTAGAGTGCCTTGAACCCTTGAAAAATACTTTTTATAAAACCACGCCTCTAGAAACCCTTGAAAAAATACTTTTTATAAAACCACGCCTCTAGAAACCCTTGAAAAAATACTTTTAATAAGACCACGTCTCTAGAGACCCTTGAAAAAATACTTTTAATAAAACCACGCCTAATAAAAAATAATAAAACCACGCCTCTAGAGTGCCTTGAACCCTTGAAAAATACTTTTTATAAAACCACGCCTCTAGAAACCCTTGAAAAAATACTTTTTATAAAACCACGCCTCTAGAAACCCTTGAAAAAATACTTTTAATAAGACCACGCCTCTAGAGACCCTTGAAAAAATACTTTTAATAAGACCACGCCTCTAGAGACCCTTGAAAAAATACTTTTAATAAAACCACGCCTCTAGAGTGCCTTGAACCCTTGAAAAAATACTTTTTATAAAACCACGCCTCTAGAAACCCTTGAAAAAATACTTTTTATAAAACCACGCCTCTAGAAACCCTTGAAAAAATACTTTTAATAAGACCACGCCTCTAGAGACCCTTGAAAAAATACTTTTAATAAGACCACGCCTCTAGAGACCCTTGAAAAAATACTTTTAATAAGACCACGCCTCTAGAGACCCTTGAAAAAATACTTTTAATAAGACCACGCCTCTAGAGACCCTTGAAAAAATACTTTTAATAAGACCACGCCTCTAGAGACCCTTGAAAAAATACTTTTAATAAAACCACGCCTCTAGAGTGCCTTGAACCCTTGAAAAATACTTTTTATAAAACCACGCCTCTAGAAACCCTTGAAAAAATACTTTTTATAAAACCACGCCTCTAGAAACCCTTGAAAAAATACTTTTAATAAGACCACGCCTCTAGAGACCCTTGAAAAAATACTTTTAATAAGACCACGCCTCTAGAGACCCTTGAAAAAATACTTTTAATAAAACCACGCCTCTAGAGTGCCTTGAACCCTTGAAAAATACTTTTTATAAAACCACGCCTCTAGAAACCCTTGAAAAATACTTTTTATAAAACCACGCCTCTAGAAACCCTTGAAAAAATACTTTTAATAAGACCACGCCTCTAGAGACCCTTGAAAAAATACTTTTAATAAGACCACGCCTCTAGAGACCCTTGAAAAAATACTTCTAATAAAACCACGCCTCAAGAGACCCTTGAAAGAATACTTTTTATAAAACCACGCCTCTAGAAACCCTTGAAAAAAATACTTTTTATAAAACCACGCCTCTAGAGACCCTTGAAAAAATACTTTTTATAAAACCACGCCTCTAGAAACCCTTGAAAAAATACTTTTTTATGAAACCACGCCTCTAGAAACCCCCTGAAAAAATACTTTTAATAAAACCACGCCTCAAGATACCCTTGAAAAAATACTTTTAGTAAAACCACGCCTCTGGAGACCCTTGAAAAAATACTTTTAATAAAACCACGCCTCTAGAGATCCTTGAAAAAATACTTTTAATAAAACCACGCCTCTAGAGACCCTTGAAAAAATACTTTTAATAAAACCACGCCTCTAGAGACCCTTGAAAAAATACTTTTAATAAAACCACGCCTCTAGAGACCCTTGAAAAAATACTTTTAATAAAACCAAGCCTCTAGAGACCCTTGAAAAAATTATTTTAATAAAAACACGCCTCAAGTGACCCTTGAAAAAATATTTTTAATAAAATCGTATCCTAATAAACCCTAAAAATTTTCTATCGTCTCTATTTTGAGATGCCTGACAAAAAATATGTTTTTTGGCTTACCATTTTCATATTTACTGCGCACCGTTGTGGGTCCATATATACGATCCGCACTTGGCCCACGATCATAATAATGTTTATTATTATTGTTGTTGTTGGTATTACTGCGATATTTATATTCGTCATAATTATTATATGCCGCCGTTGCTGTGGCATGCGTTGTAACCGGTGGTCCCATAGGTATTTGATTGCCATACGTTTGATATGTCACCGATGACGACGATGCCGAACTACGCCGTATTGTATCATTATCCATATCATTGTTCCTATCCTGCTGCTTACAAAAGATATTATCGATTTTATAATAATTACTCGTCGAATTATCGCAGGAGAATTTTTCACAACGTCCTTGAATACAATAGGATGGCTCATCATTGCGATACAGTTTCGAAATGCATGTAGTGCCATCCGGAAAAGTCCAACTTCGTGATTTAGTACCATTTGTTTTAGTTTTACAATAGACCTTACAGGATTCTTCAATGTTGCCGGATATTTGCTCCCCTTCACCGGTTAGCTCACCATCGAATTTTTTCGCTTTTTCACAAACTTGTTTGGCAAAATCGGCCACCGTCAGCATAGGAACACTGTAGCATTGTTTGGCAACGCATGTCTCAAATTTATGATCGCGTCCAATGCAACGACGTTTATAGTCGACACATTTTCGGGTATACACTTTGAGTCCCGTGCTACCCTCGCTCAAACGTTTTGAGGGGCCATACAGGCAGCTGGAATCACAGGCACTTGGCTCACTCCATTCACTCCAACTGCTAGAGGGCTGCAAGTATGGGAAATTTGTCAATTCTATTAAAATTTTCGGAATCTTAATTTCTGTATAACCTTCTGATATTCGTGTAACAAATTTCCCGACTTTGGGCCATCCATAAAGGCGGCCTTGTCATAATTTGCCTTTGTAAGACCTGCAGTCTGCTTAGAGGCTGAATAAGGTTCGATGCGCTTGACAACACAGAAGCCACTGCGGCACCACTAAAAAAATTAAGAAAATAATGTAATACTAAGATTAAAGATCTTTAAAAAGAATTCTTTAAAAATCCAAGAATTTGACAAAAAAAGTACTTTAAAACATCCACGCCTTTGGTAACCCCTGAAAAAATGAACTTTAAAAATCCACGCCTTTGGTAACCCCTGAAAAAATGTACTTTAAAAAATCCACGCCTTTGGTAACCCCTGAAAAAATGTACTTTAAAAAATCCACGCCTTTGGTAACCCCTGAAAAAATGTACTTTAAAAAATCCACGCCTTTGGTAACCCCTGAAAAAATGTACTTTAAAAAATCCACGCCTTTGGTAACCCCTGAAAAAATGTACTTTAAAAAATCCACGCCTTTGGTAACCCCTGAAAAAATGTACTTTAAAAAATCCACGCCTTTGGTAACCCCTGAAAAATGTACTTTAAAAAATCCACGCCTTTGGTAACCCCTGAAAAAACATTCTTTAAAAAATCCACGCCTTTGGTAACCCTTGAAAAAATATTCTTTAAAAAATCCACGCCTTTGGTAACCCTTAAAAAAATATTCTTTAAAAATCCACGCCTTTGGTAACCCTTGAAAAAATATTCTTTAAAAATCCACGCCTTTGGTAACCCTTGAAAAAATATTCTTTAAAAAATCCACTCCTTTGGTAACCCTTGAAAAAATTTTCTTTAAAAAAATCCACGCCTTTGGTAACCCTTGAAAAAATTTTCTTTAAAAAATCCACGCCTTTGGTAACCCTTGAAAAAATATTCTTTAAAAAATCCACGCCTTTGGTAACCCTTGAAAAAATATTCTTTAAAAAATCCACGCCTTTGGTAACCCTTGAAAAAATATTCTTTAGAAAATCCACGCCTTTGGTAACCCTTGAAAAAATATTCTTTAGAAAATCCACGCCTTTGGTAACCCTAGAAAAAATATTCTTTAGAAAATCCACGCCTTTGGTAACCCTAGAAAAAAATATTCTTTAGAAAATCCACGCCTTTGGTAACCCTAGAAAAAAATATTCTTTAGAAAATCCACGTCTTTAGCAACCCTTGAAAACAATATCCTTTAAAAAATCCACGCCTCTGGTGGCCCAGTCAAATATTGTTAAAGCAATTCCACTTCAAAATATTTGTTATATATCCAACTTACCATATTATCACCACATGCAGTACCCTCCAAGGCCGGATGCGAGGTCCATGTATAACGATCCCTCTGGCAGTGTAAGTCCCGGCAAATATCCGCCAACGATTGACTACGGGCCCTAGTCGACTCCTTGCCATATTTCAGCATACACTGTTGATTGGCATCGAAACGTTCTCCGGGCAAGATGCCCTCAGCCGAGTGGTCCAAATTGTGATTAAACTCGGCACGATTGAACAGGCATTTGGCTTGGGATTTCCTAAACAAAAAATATAAAAATTTTTAAATAAATAAAATGAAACAACATTTGACCCTCCCCCTATCACCCCACTTACTCCAAAAACAAGTTCAATGAATCTCGTGAGCATTTCGACCATGTGATTTTGCCACTGCCCAGTGTTGGTGACATTATGTGAGAGGTGGGTTCACAGCCATTATCGATGCTATCATGGCGCATACCTAAACTGTAAAGAGGATATAATTATTATTGGTGTTGTTATTTTTGTTGTTTTGTATTCTTGCAAAAAATAATGCAAATCTGGCACGAAATATGGTCATGAAGACTCCTCCAATGTTGGTGGCAGATATTATTGCATTTTGTTTTTTGCCATCAACTGCTTTAACCTACTTACTTGTGGCCAATTTCATGAGCTACCACAAAAACACTCTCGAAATGTTTGCCCTCGTTAATGGTACACGATGATGTTTCGATGCACATGCCAGCCACTGGTGCGAGACCAACCACTTGATTAATCAGTTTGCCTTTCTTATCCACCACATACAAGTCGAGACCTTGGAAGTGATTGAAAATCAAAAACAAGAAAAGGAAAAAAACATCAATTGAATGATTGGCAATGCCAAGTAGTAAAATAATTAATATATCCGACATTACAATACAATCCGAATTAAAAATACAACAACAACAAGATATACATAACATCTAAAGCGATTAAATTCATTATATGGAAATTTATTCGAAAAATATTAACAAAAGGGAATTAAATGGAAAATAAATAAAGAAAATGTTTTTAAGGCCTATCAGAGATATGGATTTTTTAAATAATATGTTTCAAGAGTTTCTCGAGGTGTGGATTTTTAAAGACTATTTTTCAAGGGTCACCAAAGGATTGAATTTTTTAAAGAAATATTTTTTAAGGGTTCCTAGAGGCGTGGATTTTTTTAAGAATTTTTTTCAAGGGTTACCAAAGGCTTGGATTTTTTCAGGAATTTTTTAAAGGGTTACCAAAGGCTTGAATCTTGTCAAGAATTTTTTTTTCAAGGGTTACCAAAGACTTGGATTTTTTTCAAGGGTTACCAAAGGCTTGGGTTTTTTTCAAGGGTTACCAAAGGCTTGGATTTTTTCAAGAAATTTTTTCTAGGGTTACCAAAAGTTTGGACTTTTTCAAGAATTTTTTTAAGGGCTTTTAGGACCAAAAAAAGGCGTGGAGTTTTTACAAAATATGTTTAGGGACAATAAAAAGGCGTGGATTTAAAAAAAAATAGGGACCAAAAAAATTGATTTTTTATAAAATCTTTTTTGGGACCATAAAAAGGCGTAGAATTTTTATACCCTTCACCACACTATGTCCGTGAAGATAAATTTAAAATTTAACTAGCAAAGACACAAACCACCCAACTTTTTCGCTGGTTCACAAAGGGTTAAGAGAGAGAGAGAGTGAGTGAATGCGAAATTGCAGAACTAAATTGAGGAGAGAGATAGTGTGTGACGCAGTATGTGAGCGTATTTGACAATGCGCCACTAATTTGCAGAACTAAATTGCGGCCGGCCTTATGCAAATTTCATATAAAATTCCCCATTGTAAAAAACTAAGAAGGGTGCGGGGTTGAAATTTTAAATTTATCTTAACGGACATCACCACACTGTGGTACAGGGTATTAGGTCTTTGTGCATATGTTTGTAACAGGCAAAAGGAAACGTGATAGACCCATAGTTCCTTTTGAGAAAATGCATAGAATCACTTACTGAGTCGATTTATGCATGTCCGTCCGTCTGTCCATGTATTTTTGTGAAAAAACTACAGGTCGCATTGATGATCCGATTTGGATGAAATTTGACACATGTCACTTATTTGGCTCGAGGACAAACCCTATTGAAATTGGAGAAAATCGGTTCAGATTTAGATATAGCTCCCATACATAGTTTCGCCCGATTTTAGGTAAATGGTGCACCAAAGACCCTGAAAATCATTCGATTTGCACGATATTTGGCATAGCGTAGTAGATTGAGTGTAGAATGATCTGTGTAAAATTTCTTTAAAATCGGTTCAGATTTTGATATAGCTCCCATATATAGTTTCGCCCGATTTTAGGTAAATGGTGCACCAAAGACCCTGAAAATCATTCGATTTGCACGAATTTTGGCATAGCGTAGTAGATTGAGTGTAGAATGATCTGTGTAAAATTTCTTTAAAATCGGTTCAGATTTTGATATAGCTCCCATATATAGTTTCGCCCGATTTTAGGTAAATGGTGCACCAAAGACCCTGAAAATCATTCGATTTGCGCGATATTTGGCATAGCGTAGTAGATTGAGTCTAGAATGATGTGTGTAAAATTTCATGAAAATCGGTTCAGATTTAAATATAGCTCCCATATATAGGTTCTCCCGATTTTAGGTAAATGGTGCACCAAAGACCCCCGAAAATCATTCGATTTGCACGAATTTTGGTATAGCGTACTGAATTAAGTCTAGAATGACGTGTGCTAAGTGTCGTGAAAATCGGTTGTCGTGAAAATGTGTGTAAAATTTCTTGAAAATCGGTTCAGATTTAGATATAGCTCCCGATTTTAAGTGGGACCCAAAATATGGCCATTAGGAATAAAGCCTAAGTATAACCTAACCTGTCAGTTAGGATGCATTCGTTTAATATACCCATAGTGGTGAAGGATATCAAATAGTCGGCTCCGTCCGACTTTACTACTTTCCTTACTGGTTTAGAAATATTTTTGAGGTACTGTAGAGGCTTGGACCATTAAAAGACTTAGATTTAGGGATTTTAGGGCACTATCAGATGCCTTGATTTTTAAAAGGAATGCATTTTTTTTTAAATAATTTTTGAGGGATTATCAGTGGCCTGGATATTTTAGGGGCTATAAAAAGTGGTAGGTTTTTCTAAATATTTTTTAAGGGTATAAAAAGTCATATAGTTTTTAAAGTCTATTTTTAATTGTTTTGGTTTTGTTAAGGAATATTTAAAAGAGTATCAGAGAACTAATTTTAAGATATTTTCAAAATATTATTTCGGAACTAAAGCAAAGGGTGAATTTTTTTAAAGAATATATTTTAAGGACTATGAGACTATCACATTTTTTTAAAGGGCTATCCAATGACTATCAGAGGCCGTTATTTTTTCAAATTATGTTTTCCAAAGGCAGTCAAATGCCTAATATACCATTTTAAAAATATTTTGTCATAGCCTATCAGATACCAGGATTATTTAAAAATATTTTTTTCCAACTTACCCGTTAATATGACAGCATGATCATAGTGCAATTTTGGATCTTTGGCCGAATTCCATCGCGTCTGCCATTTACAAAAATTACTCAAATAAATATCAATATCGCTTGATCGTGGTAAATCCAAGGGATCTTTTTCCAAAATCTCTAAACGTTTGAGAACAAAATTAACTCTTCGGCCCAAAGAGGGATGATGATAGAGCAGTTGGACACCATTGATCATGGCCAAGACGAAACGTATCAAATGAGAGCTGGTATCTTTGGGAAAATTCTTTGCCATATGTTTATACAGATCCGTGTCCACAAAAATTGCCGTCTCTATGTGTAAAACATCGGAGGGGCTGTACCAATCCTTGACGGGGGAGATAAAACGTCTAGCACGTTTGGTCGCTTTTTCCGAGTCCATTGTTGGAAGCATAGAATGCTGCTGATTATGATGTTGTTGTTGTTTTTGATTATGGTGATGTTGTTTATTTGGATGATGGGAACGATGAACCTGATGGCGTTTTGCAGAGTGATGCTGATTATGAGCATTTGTAGGATGTCTCTGATGATTCCCATGTTGCTGATGATGATGTCGTGGCTTAAAACGTAAATTTAAAGGTACAGCATTGTGATTGTGATGTAGATTTCTGGCATGATCGCGCCCCTGTCTCGGATCGTTTTCAATATTTCTTGTCGAACGCGTTGTATTTTCCAGATCAGCCATTGTTTCGATATTTAAATCATTAAATTCTTCCATTTCCGGTTCAAATTGTATATTTTCATTTAATACTGATGATGAATTTGACCAAATGGAATCGAATAGCTCCGATTCGGATTCGAGTATAATGTGTGTGTTATTGCCAAAACGTTCGGGTAGGGGGTGTATAATGTAGTCGGTTTGATTGTGATGATATAGGCCACGCTTGGGGAAAATAAAGAAAAAAAATTCAGATTTTCTATATTTTGTTATTGTTGTTTTTATTGTTTAAAACTTACCACATTTTCACCATCACACAAATCCAACGCCGAATTCTCGTTGTGATAAAAACATTTCTCTAAGCGTTCCGCTAACTTATGTGAATTCTCCACGAGTTGTGATGTATTGGCATAGCGTCGTATAAAAACGAATGCATCGTCGATTAACTTTGGCGTTTGTTGCATCTTCAAATTGACCAAATGATCGTTATCTATGCGGAGAACAAACGAAAATAAAAAAGAGAAGAAATGAAGAGAATGAAAATATCATTAGAGCAGAATTGATTTGCCACTGTATGGTCAGATGGGTTATTTTTCATAAAAATGTACGAGGTGCAAGGTGGAAGTTTTTATTTTAATTTAACAACTTTTTTAAGGACTTTCAAGACATGGCTTTGTAAAAAAATGAGTTCTTAAAAAATATTTTTCAATGCCTGTATATGGGGTGATTTTTAAAGAATATTTTTTCAAGGGCTGTCAAGACTTGGTTTTTTGAGAATATTTTTTCAAGGCGTGGTTTTTAAAGAATATTTTTAAAGGGCAGTCAAGACGTGGTTTTTTTAAATAACATTAAAGGGATGTCAGTGGCGTTGACATTATCGATCCCTGACCATTCATGGGAGACTGGCTAGTCTCTTTAAGGATATAGTGAAAGAAAAAGAAAGAAAGGTACATTTCTGAAGTAATAATCATCATAAGGGTGTGTGCCAGTGAATTCAAAATGGATACTGAATGCACTCCAATGAAATGAGGCGTCGATTTTTTACGAATATATGTTCAAGAGATGTCAAAGGCGTAGATGTATTAAGAATGGATTTTTTAATATTAGGTTCCAAAGGCTGTCAGAAGCGTTGATTTTTTTTAAATATTTAAAGGATGCCAGTGGCGTTGATGACATTTTCGATTCCTGACCATTCATGGTAGACTGGCTAGTATCTTTAAGGATTTAGTGAAAGAAATAATCTCCCCTTGGGAAAAAGTTAAATTAATGTTGCTGATGATGAAAAGAGACATTTCTGAAGTAATAATCATCATAAGACAGTGTGACAGTGAATTCAAAATGGATACCGAATGAAATGAGGAGTCTTCCGAAAAGAAGAAAATGACATAAAAACTGTACGTGCGACTTTTACATTAAAAGTGGTTTAAGTCAATTTTTTCTTATATTGAGATATTTGAAGGTTTGGGTTTTTATACGCTTCACCACACTGTGGTACAGGGTATTATGTCTTTGTGCATATGTTTATAACAGGCAAAAGGAAACGAGATAGACACATAGTTCCTTTTGAGAATATGCATAGAATCACTTTTTAAGCCGATTTATGCATGTCCGTCCGTCTGTCCGTCCATGTAGTTTTGTTAACAAAGTACAGGTCGCATTTGTGATCCGATTTGGATGAAATTTGGCACAGTTCACTTATTTGGACCAAAAACGAACCCTATTGAAATTGGTAAAAATCTGTTCAGATTTTGATATAGCTCCCATATATATTTTCGTCCGATTTTAGGTAAATAGTGCACCAAAGTCCCTATATATCCTTCGATTTGCACGAAATTTGGCACAGCGTACTGAATTAAGTCTAGAACGATGTGTGTTAAATTTCTTGAAAATCGGTTCAGATTTAGGTATAGCTCCCTTATATATTTTCGTCCGATTTTAGGTAAATAGTGCACCAAAGTCCCTATATATCCTCAGATTTGCACGAAATTTGGCATAGCGTACTGAATTAAGTCTGGAAAGATGTGAATAAATAGTGCACCAAAGTTCCTATATATCCTTCGATTTGCAAGATATTTGGCATAGCATTCTGAATTAAGCCTAGGATTTCGTGAAAATCGGTTCAAATTTAGATATAGGTCCCATATATATTTTCTTCCGATTTTATATAAATGGTGTACCAAAATCCCTATATATCCTTCCATTTGCACGAAATTTGGATTTATAAGTAAATGAAGAACTCAAAATATGGCCGAATGCAAAAACAAACTGAAATTAGTGTAACCTAACATGTGACAAATTTCGATGAGGTCGGTTTAGATTTCGATACTTTGCTTTAAATTTATTTACATAATTTTGTCCCATTGTAAGAAGCAAATCTATATCTGACCAAAATTTAGTATAGGTGGCAGAATGACATGTTTAATTTCATGTTAATGGTCCTTCAAAATTGCGACGTCTGTTAGGATTCCATCTGTTGGATATACCCAAAGTGGTGAAGGGTATCATATAGTCGGCCCCGTCTGACTTTACTGCTTTCCTTACTGATTTGTTTGTGGCTTTGTGCCCTTAGACATTATAGAATATATAACCACTTTCAAAATAAAGGACTCAGAAATGTCAAATCCGTTCTCTTCTAAATTTGAACGACTAGGACAGGTCAACAAACTGAGCTTTTATGAACCAGCGTATTAAGTGATCTCTTTCGAGAAACGAAATCTGCAATTGGATGGAGCATTAATTTTAACCTATCATATATTTCTGCGAGAAGTTTTCAAATCATCCTCAGCCTAAATTCCAAAATATCGAAAATCGGTACATGAACTTTTCTGATTATGATATTGCATTTTCGAATCAAAGAGGAATATTTGCAATTTTTAGCGGAATGTTTAAAACTAATATTCAGACATAATATTTAGAATAAAATATTTCATTCTGTACAAAATAGTGATTTATTTGACCATCACTGTTCTAGTTTATTTTTGTTTGTTGTAGGTCATGGTTCAAAAACAAGATAACAATCGGACAACAACTGATAACAGCTGCTGAACATATTTTACTGATTCCTACAATAATATGTGTGTATGTAGATAAAAGTTCTATCACCTTATCATACTTAGGTAAGTAGTATCAAACGTCACTTTTGTTGATAAAAAAAATAAATAATTGATATCAAAATTTCAGATGGATTTAAGAGTACCTCCATTCTGGATTTCACATACCCCCTGGTTTGACAACTACTGCACTAAACGATATTATAATACTCAGTCTCCTCTTGTATGGTGTAGGAAGAAAACCGATTAAAACGTAACCAAATTCTCTAAAATACTATAATTAAATTACCGATCCGTGGAAGAGAAAGAGATTGTCTACAAAATTATAACCCAAAACAAAAAAACTCAGCCTATTTGGTTCAATAACGCGTCCAAACTATTCAAAACACTGAAATTCAGTTGGTTTCATTACATGGGACCTCTCATAAAAATATTTATAATAATTGGTAAGAAGATTTGTATCCAATGGCAGTCCAAAACATGTGCCATGTGCCGAATATAAGGGGGTAACGTTATATGGTTTCAATACCCAAAATCCTAGGAGTAGTACCTGTATCGTAAATATTGAGAGCTTTCTAACGGTTTTAACTGACAGGTATGCGGCATCTGGTTGACTCCTACGAAGACAATGAATTCTTTTCGATTAGTAATGTTTTAGAACTGTATAGGTTCAATAAGTTAATTAAAACCAACCAATTAACCAATATCAAAAACCACCCCAAAATTTCGAAATTACAACCATTTCGGTTGAAAACGAGACCAAACTTCCCAAAATACCGTAAATTTGGGGGCACCTGTATATGAGAGCTACTCAAAAAAAGTGGACCCAATTAGAACTCAACATAAAAAAAATTACAACCAATTCGATCGAAAAAATAGTCCAAAATCCCAAAGATCCGTGCACCATTTACATAAAATCGGACAAAAATATATATGGGAGCTATATCTAAATCTAAACCGATTTTCACGAAACTTAACACTTGTTATTTAAGACATAATAGAACACACCAACCCGTCACTTGATGCTGACAGAATAAATCGGCTATATATCTTCAAGAGTTCTTGAGATTTTCACTTGAAATTTTGTAGGGACATTCTTGCATTAGTGTAGATTTGAATTAAGTCAAAAAAAAAAAATTGACCCCGAGAATGGGAGGGGGTCCCCTTAATTCAGTACGCTATGTTAAACATCGTATACATTGAAGGAAATATAGGGACATTGGTGTACCATTTATCGAAAATATATATATGGGAGCTATATCTAAATCTGAACCGATTTTTGCCAATTTCAGTAGGGTTTGTCCTTGGACCAATGTTGACCAATATCAAAAACCACCCCATTTTATGGTGGATGTTATACAAATGCACAAGGACTCGAGATAGAAGCAGTATATGTTTTACAAAAATACTCTCCATTCGATTTGAGTAAAGACATGTCATCTCAAAATAACCTACAATAGGCGCAAATAATGCCATAGTTGTAAAATTTGACTTATGGCGAATTTATTCTTTAAATATTTTAACCAAGGGTTGCAGCCTCTATAAGAATATTTTCGGCCACCAAATTCTTGTAGCACAGTTTAATTTATCCAGTTTTTCAAAAAGTTTATTTACATTCCTGTACCACTACCGAATTTATCAAAATAACTCTGCCTGTGATAGTAGCTATTCTAAATTTTCTCTATTTTGGTTTTAATACTACTTCCATAACACCCCTCGCATATATTCTAATATGCATAAGACTTAAGAATTGCCATAGTAATTTAAATTCATTGACCGCAAAAATTAAGTCTGTCTTTGTTTTTTTCATTCTTTTGTGGATAGATATAGATTGCATATTTTGATATGCATTAAATACTTCGGCAGCATTTCTAAAGAGGAATTCAACGGTGTCAGAAGGTCAAGTGGAGCGAAAATTGAAATGAACCATTATTTAATAAAAAATGTATATGAAAGATTATTGTTTTTTAAGTGGGCAGATAAGTAGGCATACCATACATAGAACATATTTTAATAGTCACAAAAAAGAGACACTTGTTTCACACCTTTTAAATACTCAAAATATTTAATCTAATAATACGACAACTTTTCGAAGACCCTCAACATGCAAAAAAACATATTTTATGCGCATGCTTTCAATTGATCTATTAACCTTTCATCGCAGAGATTTTATTGCACTCCTGGCTTCAGTTCATATCTGTGTATGTTATCATTCATCAACACTTGGTAACCAGATGGCACCGTCATTCATCTCCATCTCTCGCGAATTGAACGAGCGAACGAATTACACCAATAACACTAATTGCATTTAATTAAACAATGGCAACTGTCTATGGCAAAATTTCTTCTTCAGTATCTGAGTTCTTCATCTTCTGCATCTTTCATTCATTCATCCAGTAAAACAACTGGAAAAAAGAGGTCAAATAGGTCTACCATAACATTGGACTTTCAGAAACAACAACAACAAAATTATTGCAGCAATGCAGCGGAAAAAATCGATGATAGAGATAGCCAAAGGCAAAATATTCCAAAAGAAATAAAAAACAACAACAATGAATAGAAATTATGGGCCATATGTTGTTTGCCCCATGTAATTTACATTTTAACCATCCTGAAATAATGTTAAACGTTCTCCCAATCGTTCCCCTTTACCTACCAAGTAAAAAAAATAACTTACAAGAAATGAATAGCAACTTACCTTTGATTTGCACTGATACTATTGGAGGTAACTCTGGGGCGCCACTACCTTGACTATTTGCTGGCGTTGATATTATTGCCGATGCTGGTTCATTGTCAGATCGTTTAGAGCGATGCACGACGACATCAGCAGCAGCAGCAGCAGCAGCAGCAGCAGCAGTGGTGACGGTTTCTAAGCTATTATTTGGTATTTGTAATTCCATAGAATACCCCTCGTTGCGGGATGTAACATCTGTTGGATGCACTGTTGCCGACGCTGCAGCATTTGACCGATATGTTAAATGCACCAATTTTATGGAACGCTCTGTAAATAGCAAACAATAGGAGAAGTTATTAAGATTTGTTGTGGACAACATAATAAGGAGGTTGCCATAATGTTGATGTGATGTTATATCTTTATTTTTATTATTTTAAAATATATTGTTATACACAAATAATGAACTCTAGACAGGAATATAATAAGAGTTCGAAGTAAAATCTATAAAAATGGGTACGAGGAAAAATGGCGATATGTTCGGACTTTAAAGAATATATTTTTTAAGGACTATTTAAGGGGTGGATTTTTTAAAAATGTTTTTCAAGGACCAACACAAGTCGTGGATTATTTAAAGAATATTTTTTCTAGGACTAAGGCGTGGATTTTTTTTCAAGAACCAACTACCAAAGGCGAGGATTTTTTTAAGGACTATCCAAGGCGTGGATTTTTTAAAGAATATTTTTTCATGGACTAAGGCGTGGATTTTTTAAAGAATATTTTGTATAGGACTAAGGCGTGGATTTTTTAAAGAATATATTTTCTAGGACTAAGGCGTGGATTTTTTAAAGAATATTTTTTCTAGGACTAAAGCGTCGATTTTTTAAAGAATGGTTTTCAAGAGTTGCCAAAGGCGTGGATTTTTTAAAAAATATTTTTTCAAGGGTTACCAAAGGCGTGGATTTTTTAAAGAACATTTTTTCATGGACTAAGGCGTGGATTTTTTAAAGAATATTTTTTCATTGACTAAGGCGTGGATTTTTTAAAGAATATTTTGTATAGGACTAAGGCGTGGATTTTTAAAGAATATTTTTTCTAGGACTAGGCGTGGATTTTTTAAAGAATATTTTTTCTAGGACTAAGGCGTGGATTTTTTAAAGAATATTTTTTCTAGGACTAAAGCGTCGATTTTTTAAAGAATGGTTTTCAAGAGTTGCCAAAGGCGTGGATTTTTTAAAAAATATTTTTTCAAGGGTTACCAAAGGCGTGGATTTTTTAAAGAACATTTTTTCATGGACTAAGGCGTGGATTTTTTAAAGAATATTTTTTCATTGACTAAGGCGTGGATTTTTTAAAGAATATTTTTTATAGGACTAGCAGGCCCATAGGCGTGGATTTTTTAAAGAATATTTTTTCTAGGACTAAGGCGTGGATTTTTTAAAGAATATTTTTTCTAGGACTAAGGCGTGGATTTTTTAAAGAATATTTTTTCTAGGACTAAGGCGTGGATTTTTTAAAGAATGGTTTTCAAGAGTTACCAAAGGCGTGGATTTTTTAAAAAATATTTTTTCAAGGGTTACCAAAGGCGTGGATTTTTTAAAAAATATTTTTTCAAGGGTTACCGAAGGCGTGGATTTTTTAAAAAATATTTTTTCAAGGGTTACCAAAGGCGTGGATTTTTAAAAAAATATTTTTTCAAGAGTTACCAAAGGCGTGGATTTTTTAAAGAATATTTTTTCAAGGGTCAATACAAGGCGTGGATTTTTTAAAGAATATTTTTTCAAGAGTTACCAAAGGCGTGGATTTTTTTAAAGGAATATTTTTTCAAGAGTTACCAAAGGCGTGGATTTTTTAAAGAATATTTTTTTGAAGGGTTACCAAAGGCGTGGATTTTTTAAAGAATATTTTTTCAAGAGTTACCAAAGGCGTGGATTTTTTAAAGAATCTTTTTTCAAGAGTTACCAAAGGCGTGGATTTTTTAAAGAATATTTTTTCAAGAGTTACCAAAGGAGTGGATTTAAATTAATACGTGTTGTGTTATTTACGTCATATAAATGCTTTCTTGCATTTCGCTCACTTCTTCCCAGAAAATGCAGGAGGAGGGAGCAACCGATCAATTTATCTATTTGCCCCTTCAAGTTTAACCAATTCAGAGCAATTATTGTATTTTCCGTGATTGTCTATTTTTTCTTTTTCTTGCAATTAAATAGTGGTTTACCTTAATTAATGCAGTTATTAATAGTTGTTGTTTTTTTTTCTATTTTTTATAATGTTTTCATTTCTACAGTTAATTGGTGCAGTAGCTCGCTGGCTCACTTCGTTGGTGGTATGGATTTCTTGGTTATGCGTTTACTATGCTGCTGTATGATTGACTTTGGATGGAAGGTGATATTCGATATTTTTCTGCAACTTCAGTTACACGCAGCTATGTTGTATAGCATACATGTATGTATGTCACCTATATATTCGAAATTACTCACTCGATGGTTATGTTAATGGCAACAATGTGTGTTGACATTTTACGCTTCAATGATAGGGAATGGTATTTAAGGGAAACCGCAAAACGGAAAAAAAGGGAAAATAATTTGATCTCCTGTTGGAGGGGGAATTAAAAAAGTTCGGAAGGAATTTTGTATTTTTTCTTAAGGCATACAATTATGAAAGGAAAACAAAAATCCAAAGTCCCCTAAAATAATGAATGTTCATTTGTAAACCGTTTGAAAATCATCGAAACTTGAAATGGAGTATGGGGTGTTCTCTTATGTCTATTGATGCAAGGTGACGGTTATGGGAGATATACTGTATTTTGTAAAGTGGTTGCGAATTTTGAATTTTGTTTTGGTAACCCTTGTAAAAATATTCTTTAAAAAATCCATGCCATTGCTAGCCCTTGAAAAAATATTATTTAAAAACCAGTGGGCGGAGCAATATAGTCGGACGGGGCCGACCATACGATTCCCTACACAACTACCACGGAATTCTAACTTTCTGCGGAAGTTTACTTCGATGTTTACTAGTGATATTGCATCCTCTTGCCCGATTAGAGGTCAACAGAACCTTTTCCTTGCATTTTCGAATATTCAGTAAAGCCCTTCTAATTACATCTCCAGATTGCATTCACGGTGGGTTGAGTTGTGATGTTCGGATTATATTCGACTCGAAAACACACAAAAAATTAAGTTTTCGGTCCATTTCATCTTAAAATTTTAATATGATCATCACCGAAAATTATAAGCGTTGTCCTTGACCACAACTGGGACTTCATGAAAAATTTCAAAGCAATCCGCGCTATATTTCCGTTCTCTAATTTGGTAATGGGTTACTAAATAATATCTGAATACGTAAGCACCTGTACATATTTGAGTGTAACTCCCACATCCGAGTACATACGACAATATAATTGGTATCAATTTAAAGGTCAACCACTCTTTTTGGATATACTATCAACATCTCGGCTCTATGTCCTTCAGGTGCAAATATATACGCTATAGAATACAAATTTTGTCATTTTTCACACAGAAGTCAGGGTCCATTTGACCCGATCTTTATCAAAACCGGCATGATTATTCTTTGACCCAATGTAAAAATTCGGGATGTTTGGGCAATAATTGCGGCCTCTGGAGCGACCAGAAAAACCGACAAAAATTAAGTATTTGGTCCATTCCATCCCCTAAATATTAAGCGATATTTACCAAAAACAATAGGGGTCTTCATTGGCCAGAACCCATCCTACATGCAAAATTTCGTGAAGATTGGTCCATAACTGTGGCCTGTATCGTGTTTACAAATTATAATGGACAGACGGACGGACACACATGTCTAGATCGACTCAGCTAGTCGAGATATGACGATCGGTATACTTAAAGGTGGGTCTAGGACCAATATTTCGCGGCGTTACAAACTCTTGGGGCTGCACAAAGCTATAATACCCTGACAACATAGTTGTGTAGGGTATAAATATTTAGAATACAGTTGTAGTTGTTTAGGCTACCATGTGGTCGGCCACATGGGACTACACTGCTCCGTTATCGGCTTAGTATTTATTATTTTTATTTAATTTTATTTTACCCTCACTTCGGTAGAATAGTTTACAATTATACCGTCAAAATTCTCTATGAAAATTTAGACAAAAAATATTCATATGTAACCCAGAAATTCACCGGTCGATTTACTGCGCTTTGAAGAAGTTCGACTATAAATCAATTCTCAATCTCGAATTCACAACTTTCCTTGTTCTAAATATTCTGACACACTACACTACTCCCCTCTATTCTCCAACCCAAAAAATACACCCACCCATATTTCCATACTTACTTTTTCTTGACTTTCCAAATATCATCTCACGTTCGTGTTCTTCCAAATGCTCCAATAAATTGTCTTCATCAATCTGTAACGAAGAAAAAAACAGAAGATAAATATATATATATTTAAATTTCCATTTCAAATTAAATAGTTATTGTTTTAATTAATAAACAAAAACCAACAGCAGGAAAAAATAACAGATTCTCGCAAAAAAAATATTTAAACGTTTTGATTTAATAATTTCAACAAAGAAACACTCTGCCCTACAAAAACAACAGCAAATTAAAAAAAAAAAAACGAAACAGAAACAAAGTCTTTCATTGTGCTGATTTGCAGCACTTTCACTATAAATTTCCATATCCATAACATTGTTGTGCGGGTGGTAGAGGAGGGGGTGCGTCACACTACTAGCCCAGATGCTCGATTGAAAGCAAAGTAGCTAACGATGCAAAAAAAACAAAAGTAGAAGAAAAAAAATAAAAGAAAACTAAGCATTAACACTTGAGCTCATTAAGACAGTGTGGCGGGGAGGTAGTCATATCAATGCCATCAACAGCAGTAGTAGCAACCCCCTCTCCACCATTACCACCAAAATCTGTAGCACGGATGCGGCTCTGCGCCCATGAATACAACAACAGCAGCACCAAAATCACATGTTTTCATTTATCTATTTTCTTGAAAGCGTTACAACCAAAAAACTGAAATAAAATAAAGTTAGTATAACGGCATTTTATTTAAATACTAATTAATTTTCTAAAACGAAAAGAAAATAGTTTCGTTTTATGGAAACGTACACGTGTAATTGTCATAGTTTCCATTTGGTGACATTTAATTTAATGGAATTTTTATTGTTTATATGATAGGCTTTTAAAAGATGAAAAGTGGGAAATTATAGACATTTTGCAAATAACAAAGTTCTTGTAGTTT